ACTGTTGCTACGTCCGACAAGCCATGGCATGGCTTTCACGCTACACGTTCTCACGCAGTGAAAAATACATCGCGGAGCAAAGAGGACACTGACAACGCGCCTACAGACAAGACTGAGCAGGTTACTTTTGGTATGAAGCAAATTTTCAGCTTTCAAATTTTGTAATTTTTTAAAGAAATGTTTGTGGCCTTTTAGCACCTCAGTTCAAGTGCCCAGTGAACCAATCATCTCTTCCTCTTTATTAGTTTCAGTGGCGGTTGGTCAATAGGGGGCACCGCCCCTTCCAAGTTAGCCAGGGAAGAAGCCTACTCAAAGCTGCAGTCCGTACATTTTGCCTCTTTTTCGCCATCTCTGTTTGAAAAGCTGCAATTGCAGCTATTTGCGGAATTATCTTCCCTGCGTGGGTTGTGCACCGGCACGGCTCCAGCGCGGATGAATCTAATGTGTGGCTGGCAGTCACCGCACCGGTGTGGATCTGCACTTTGTATTCACAGATTCTACATCTTGAAAGTATGACCCAAATAAAAGCTTTCACTGGAGAATGTCATCTGAACAAGTAAGTAACAACTGCCACTTTTGTTCTGATCAACTGAGGCCTGGTCGCATTTTCTTTTTTTCTGTAGCCACTTCTCAGTATGAATTCTTTTGGTTTTGACTACGGGTGAATCTCCAGTCACTGATGATTGTCGTTTCGACCTTTCTAGATTACAATCCTCCATTTATTCCAGCTGCTGTGAGAAAAGGCTATAAACGATTCGTCACCTGCAGCATCCTCACGTGCGATACAGCATTATATTTACAGACGTGACGTAATGACATAGCGCCATGCTTGAATTTCCCGCGGAAACCTACCCGTACCACTCAAATTAGAAAACTTTATTACAAGCTTACTGTTGTAAATCGAGCTAAAGTAAGGCAATAGTTTTGAACACTGACTGGTTATGTACTTGCTCAAAAACTGATTTTGGATAATTTTTAACCAAAAAAGTTACGGACTGCAGCTTTCAACATGTTAAAAATAAGTTAAATATATATCGCAAAATAATTACGAATTACGTTATTTAGTTCACACTATTCGATTGGTAGTCATGTTAGCACCTATTAAAAAAACAAAAAAACAAAACAAAAAAACTCTTTTGTTTGTTTTGTGTGTGCGGGGCACCGGATAAATGGGTGTCTGTTCTGTACATTTTTGAAACGCATGTGACTTGAGGCTGAACTCTAATTGGCTTGTTTCAGATTGTCCTCCCACTTTTGTTTTTAGCAATCAGTATATATTTTGGTCTCTTGTGATTGGATATCTCTTCCGCGATGTAAGTAAATTTGATTTTATCTTTACAAAAGACCCTTTTACAAGACATTCTAATGAAGAAAATCAATAAATAACGTTAAATACGGATCATGGAGCTTGGAGGGAGTTGGTAAACTGGATGCGATGTAAGTCACGCCTTTTATTGTTTTCCCTGTTTGTTAAGTCCTGTCACCAAAGCACTGTGGACAACGACACAGAAGGTAACGGAAACAACGCAGTTTAATATACATGCTATGCATCATCACAGTGTGACCAATGTTGCAGCACCACATTTATGAGCCCTTCCTTGCAGTTCAATTAGCACATGCACTCACAGCGAGAGCAAGTATTCATGAGCCCACACAAGAATGCAAGCCTGTCTGAAAACCACCTCCAATCATGTAATATCCTGAGCTCGAGTTGCACTACACATCTCCACCAGCAGAGTGTGCGGTTGCTTCAGAAAATGCTGAACTGCCATTGATGAAACAATTACAGAATAAAGGGGCTTTGCCTACTTAATCATTGTTATTCATATACCATCATACGTATTTACTATATTTTAAAAAAAATCGGACAAATGTCAAATTACTGAGATCTGCACAAAATCCATGTTTTCTGGAATTTCTTTAATAAAATGTTTTTGATTCAAAGAGTTTTAGAGCAAATATTTGTTATCCTTTCTATAAGGTTAAGATTTGTAGTGTAATGTTTTGTGCACTGCTGATTGTATAACAGCAAAAAGAGATAAAAGGTTATGTTTATCAAAAAAAAAAAAGTTCATGGATGGGTCTTAGGGTCACCTCCACATCGAAAAACACTTTGTCTGGACCTGCAAAAATATTCAAAATGTCAATGAAGAGTGTTTCAAATATTCACATTGGTATTACGTATGAGATTTTTTTTTTTTTTAGTGCCAACAAGTTAAAAATCTACAGATAATGTGTTAAATAAAACATAGCAATTGCCGAAATGAAGCAGAACAACAGAAAAACAAGTGATTGAAAAATGTGATTGATTTTGAGGAAATCAAGAAATTATATATAACAAGTTGGATAAATGTATTTGTGAATATATATATGGAATTGTTCCAATTTCTAATAGATTTCATATGTTTTCACTGAATATGAACATATATTTCCTGTATGTACATGCATTTCTGTACAGGTGGACTGAAGCAATCACCAAGATTTTGGAACATCGTTCTCGATGTACAACTGAAGAAGATGGGGTTTGTACAAACTACGGCTGATCCCTGCATTTACACTGCAGCAACAGGTGAGATGTTCATTATTGTTGTATATGTTGATGACATTCTCCTGGCTGGAAGCAATGATAAATGGATGATGGAGGTGAAGAAAATTCTTGCAAAACAGTTTGAGATTAAGGACATGGGTGAGCTAAATCATTTTATTGGAGTGAAAAATTGTCCAAAAAACAGAAACTGAAGTAATCTGGATGGGTCAGACAATACCAAAAATGTGTTGGAGAAATTTATTATGGAAAATTTAGTTTTTTTATTTTTTAAATTTAGTACACAAAACTTATTGTGCATCCTCGTTTCCTTTTCTTGCTTCCTTTCCTTGTGTCTGACCTCTACATCCCCCCCCCTTTCATTATTGTTGTATATGTTGATGACATTCTCCTGGCTGGAAGCAATGATAAATGGATGATGGAGGTGAAGAAAATTCTTGCAAAACAGTTTGAGATTAAGGACATGGGTGAGCTAAATAATTTTATTGGAGTGAAAAATTGTCCAAAAAACAGAAACTGAAGTAATCTGGATGGGTCAGACAATACCAGAAATGTGTTGGAGAAATTTATTATGGAAAATTTAGTTTTTTTATTTTTTAAATTTAGTACACAAAACTTATTGTGCATCCTCGTTTCCTTTTCTTGCTTCCTTTCCTTGTGTCTGACCTCTACATCCCCCCCCCTCCCCTTAGGATGCAAGGAAAGAAAATGAGGACCGAGTTCACTCCAAACATTAATCAAGTCTATACATGATCACCCCACAAAAATGGACAAACATTGACTTAATGCATCTATTCCTTCTTCTTTTTCTGAGTTTTCTTGAAGCACTTCCTGAAACAGAACATGCAGCTTTTGACAGTCACAAAAATAACAGTCACTAGAATGAGAATGAGAAAGCCAATGACATCCAGAGAATGATACTGAATCCAGTTCAGCTCGTGGGCTGCAGGTCTGAGATGCGCTGCCCCTTTATGTCTCATAACAAACTCAGTCCAGAACACAGCCAGGTCCAGAGGCTCAATGGGACGGTCTCTGTGAATAGCTGAAAGCTCTGTCATCTTCTCCTTGTAGCTGTGGAGTCAAAGATGAAGTATGTTTATATTGTGTTGCAATCAAAAGGACTGCAGTTCTTAAAATAATCTACACATTTAACATTTTACTTTGAAACAATTTTCATTCAGAAATTGCTAGTAAATTTCACAAATAATTGCAAAAATAAGTAACGAACCCGCACACTATCAATACTTGCTAATTCTTAAACTTTATTAAATGCGTTTCGGTCCACTGACCTTCATCAGGCAAATGTATAGAATTAAAAACAAGACATATAATTGAGTATAATAAGAGTATAATTGACAATCACATGTGGACTAATTAAAAATGTGAAAGTATATAATTATGTCTTGTTTTTAATTCTATACATTTGCCTGATGAAGGTCAGTGGACCGAAACATTGCGTTTAATAAAGTTTAAGAATTAGCAAGTATTGATAGTGTGCGGGTTCATTACTTATTTTTGATTCAACTTTTAGTTTGATTTTGTTCCCATGCACCTATCCTCGGTTCAGGTGTGCAAATAATTGCAAATAAATATAAATTGAAGTACATGTGGAATTTTGAAGAAAGACTGAAATAGCATCTTTTGTAAAACATACTCCAATAAACTTTTTACGACTTCGAAAAATCATTTTCACAGTGCAATACTCTGAATATAGTCTAATATTTCACTTTGAGTTCAGTAATAAATGTTGCATGAATAAAAACGATGCATCAGTTCTGCATTTCATTCACAGGCTGAACTTAATTCTTATGTTTACCTTTTGTCATTGATGACCTTTCTCAATGCAACCAGTAGTTTTTCTGAGGTCAGATCATAGATACTCAGGGTTTCTGCAACTCCTCGAGACACTAAGCGCTGAACGTTATCCCCTTGGTCTCCAAACAGAGGAAGCATCACCATTGGCACCCCATTACAGATTCCTTCATAGATTCCATGTGATCCACCATGTGTAATAAAAGCCTTAACCTTAGGATGGCCTGCAATGTAACATTTCATTCAGTATATTAGTGTTACCAAATGATTTTGTAGTGAAATATAATATGGCATGATAATTCAAATATCATGCATCCCCTGACTGGTCATCAGTGCCAAAAAATAAAATAAAAATTAAAGATGAAGTATGTGGGCTCTGAGACACTAGTGGCACCTAGCGGAATTACAAAAATAAAGCTTAATGGCTTCCGGTAATGGCAGTGAAGTGAAGAGTCACTTTTTTTTTTACCTCTCCCAGTCCACGTTCCTGTTGTTCATTATCTTTCTTCATCTTTTTTTAAGTCATTATTTGGTCGCTTTACTGCTAGTTGATCATGCCCAAGCCGTCAAAACAGAACAAGCTGGACCATTCCCAAGGCTTTATGGATGATTCTGCTGACTGGAATGAGGCTAGTGCTAGCAGCAACCATGCGGTTAGCAATGAGAATGTGTTACCTGACTTTTCAAATGGGGCTTTGCTTAAACACATTGCTGAAGTAATTGCAGAAAAAGGTCGGCACACACAAAAGATGCTGAATGACTCTTTCACTAAGCTGGAGTCTGGACTGAACGTCAAATGCATCGATAAGGTCGCTGCGGCCACCGACTCCCTCGCGACTCGCCAGACCGAAACATAGATTCGTATCTCTAGCTTGGAAGATGACATTGCTCCACTAAAAGGGAAACTGGCTGCACTTGAGAAACTTAACACTAGGGCTGGGAATCGATTCCAAAAAGAATTTGGGAATCAAAGACCATGAACCAGTTCAAAAAATGATTCAGAGGTCATTTTACGGTGGAACTGGGTTATGTTGTCCACAATTTTAAGCGCTGCACGACAGAATAGATCATGACATGATCAAGGGTCTTAATCTTATTTACATCTTAAATAAAATGCTATTTTTTAACCTTTCTATCAGCCAATGATAATTCTGAAAGAAAACGCCAAAAGCACAGATCAGTGGCCGAGAGATAAACCACGAGCTCTTATATCAATGTGTTGTTGTTGTTAATGTTCTGGTTATTTTGTTTCAGTGTAGTTTGTTAAATCTGTGCAAAGCATACTGTTAAAGTAAACTTCATCATTCAGCTGAACTGTTCACATGTATTTTAGACACTTCATGTCTTGTTCCATTCATGCAATAAACGCATGTCCACTGCTGAGCTGTGGGCTATGACTAATTTCAGGCGCAATGCAGACACAATTACAATTTAAAATCAATCAGAGATACAGAAATGCATTGTAATTTTTACAAATATAACTTCATATTGTGAGAAGGCTACTTTTTACGACCTTTATATCCAGCAGTCATGGCAAAATTAGGTTCCTCCAATCTAAAAAACAAGAATCGAAAAAGAATCGAAAACACCAGTGAGGAATCGATTCTTGAGCCGGGAATCAGAATCGGACTCGATTCCAAAAATTTTGGAATCAAACAGCCCTACTTAACACGGCACTTACAGCAAGGCCGTAACCATGTCTTGAACATTGGGGAGGGAGGGGGACCAACTATATATATATATATATATTGTGGTTACGGCCCTGATCACTCTCAAATTCTCAAAGATCATCCTCATTATCAAAATGAATGACCTCCCCAAAATTAACTTTGTGAGCTCTATGCTGCTCTTGCCTCACCCTTCTCGTTTTTGGGATAGGTTACAGGGCTTTTTCACTACGTCCTCTGGTTAGTTAGTATGATGATAAATTTGATGTTTCTTGGTGTCCCCTGGAAGAGAATCTGGTTCTTCCTTTGAAGTTGGATGAAGTAGAGGTCTTGAGTCCTAACCCGATGTGCATTTTTTTTTTTTTAAAGAAAAACCCGACCCGAGACAGACCCGATAAAATTAGACCAGAGTCCGACCCAACTGCATTTATTTTCGAACCTGACTGGACCTGCAGCCCCGCAGTCAAGTAAAGAAAAATCCCGGTGTCCTGCTGACTGATTTGGCCACTTCTCCATTACTTTGATTTATTTAACATTTATTTAATTTTATTATTATTATTGTGACCAGTGGATTGGAAAAATAAATGTGATAGCTCGAGAAAAATTTAATCGAAATAAATCATGGATTCGCTAGTGTTGTCTGCTCTGCAATGCTATTTACCTTATCTCCAGCGAAGGGATTCCGCACACAAAAAAAGAAAAGCCCTGCCCTGCATAAACATGCACTGTAATGAAGCGAGTGGCTTAACCTGATGGATTTCATATCTATAAGATGGATTTCGGTGTGTGAGGTTAACTTACAAACGTATGTTCCTTTTTCTATTGTGTGTTTCTCAAAAATGCACCAATGTGCAAGTACGTTAAAGGGATCGGGTCTTATCGGGTCCATTTGGAAAAAGCACATTTATTTTAAATTACCCGAGTTTACTGGGTTTTCGGATTTAAGTGGACCCGTGAAGACCTCTAGGATAAAGTATAAACTCCATTTTGGTCCTTTAGTGTCTGGAGAGGAGCAGAAAAAGTTTGTGATGTTCATTCTAATTGGAATCCCTACTCTCCTGTGTTTAATAATGATGGTTTGCTAATTGGTGTTACGTCCTGTGGACGTATTTGTTGTATGTGTGTGATCTGAGGAGAGGAATGTTACTCATTGGATGTGTTATGCAGAGATGGGCACTCGAGTTAGTGACTCGGACTCGAGTCGCATTTTAACAGACTTCAGACTCGACTCCAGACTTGACCTGAAATGACTTCAGACTTGACTCGACAAAAAGGACTCATCTCGAGTCTTTTATCCTTAACTACTGATTTCAAAAAGAAAGAACTTGTGTTTTATTTGTACTGTTTTATTATATCTGCGTCACGTATTTCCCTTTGTGTTGCTGTAGATGGGACTTTTATTATAGTATTTGATGACATATGTCCGCGTATTGCGCATACATTCTGAAATGTCGAAGTATGAACCATTGCGGGAGCCACCGTGTCATATCATCTTACATTAGTTTTTTTTATAGACCAATTTCGGTGTTTGCAAACAGTGATGACGTTTTTGTGGGCGAAACCTATCTGGTGGCAGAAAGTGACAGTTTTAAAGTAGCAGTCTATGGAAGCCATGGAATAAAAGGATAAAAAAACTTAATTTTGAGTTTATATTTCAAAATTCTGACTTTTTTCTCACAATTCCGAGATTATAACTCACAATAAGAAAAATCAACTAGTCTTTCTCTCATGAGAGAGAACGAGTTTAATCCCACACGTCTGGCTTTTTCCCCTCAGAATTGACAAAATCGCAATTGTTGAGTTAAATCGAGTTATAAAGTCTGAACTAGAAGATATAAACTTGCATTTGCGAGAAAAAAAAGTCAAAATTGAGAGATAAAATAGGTAAATGTTATAGGTTTAACTGTAGGGCTAATACAATATGTCCCCTATGAACTGCATATGTGAATATTATGTAGACCTATTGTTTAAATCAAATTTATGCTTTAAAAATAGGGTAATCATAGCAGGTTTCATCCATAGTCTGTCATTTCATCAACCTTTTCGTAATACAGGAATTGTTACAGCTTCTCTCTCTTAGTGTGTGTGTGTGTGTGTGTGTGTGTGTGTGTGCACTTGCATTCAGGCCTGAATCATAATGCAAAAACTGACACTTCAAATCAACATTTTGATAATCTCTAAACATATGTCCAGATGCAAAACCTAATAAAATTAATTATGTCTACTTTCTGTTGATATAATGCGCTAGTTGGTGTTATGAAAAAAAAACTCTTAATCTTACACTGCATGCAGTTGCAGTTGCTGCCCATAATCCTTTGCACAGACTCATCAGCGATTATTGTTTGCACCTGTGTCTCGTTAACCCTGTCTGCTCACCATATATAAGCCTGGTTCATTCTGTCATTCATTGCTAAGTCTTGCATGTGTCATAGCTGGATTTCTAAGGTTCTACCGTGTCTTGGTTCCTGGTTTTGTTTCCCTGTTTATGTTTATTGCCCTGTTGTTATTGTTTGGACTGATTGCTCGTGTATATGATCTTCTGCCTGTTTTTGGATTCAGAAGCATCTGTACTGATATGCATATCAGCAAGGAATGTGTCACAGTATATTGCTGTATTGATATTTTGCGCACAGCCCTATTTAAAGCCTTGTTCCATGTGCCCCTTTTATATTTTAAGCACCTGCCCCTCTGCATGGCACTGCACATTAGAAGTACTTTTAGTTGTGTTGCTATGTGTCATGAGCAAGCAACTGTGTAGATCAACTGTGAATGAACACGACCGTCTTGTGCGTAAATAAACCGGCTGCATTTTTTGACATAATGCGGCAGAACTATTTGAGGCTGTCTACAATGGACACATCAAAGTAAACATTATAAAGTGGTCCCAGACAGGGGCGCCTGCAGAATTTCAGATGAGGGTATGCACAGAGAAGTTTTTTTTTATTTTTTATGAAGGTGTCTCTAGACACGTCAAAAATATTTTAACCCTGAAAATGACAAAAAGCAACGGAATAGTCAAATACTTCCATCCTATATGTTCACATAGGAAAACTACTGAAAAACAGTGCGGGTGGACACAAAAACCAATTAGGTTTGAATGGCCTCTTATTCACAGAACTGAATTTTGTTAAAGTTAACTTTCAAAATGTAGTCTTTTGTTTCAGTTGTTTGTAGTTGATTGTCCACTTCATCCAGCACAGTTTGGTCTTTGTGTTCTTGTTTGTTTTACTGCTTCAGGTGATTCAACATAGGCGGTGAACCACATCCAGGTAAAAGCAGCCTAATGTTAGTGTAATCTATTAACTATGCACATCATAAACCCCTCTTTTTAGACAAGTACCATATGAGTGTCATGTCATAAAATATTTTAATACTAATTTATATTTAACGTGATCACAGTTTAATAAAAACATTGTAAGTTACTAATTATTTCATTATTTTGTTTAAATTCCACAGTTATTTAAACAGCGAATAAATTATATACCGAAAGCGAACAAAGAATTTACGTGATCACATTATCAATGACAATAGTCTAGCATGAGTTTAAGCACTCTCAAAAGCTCCCTACACGGTGAAATAAATATCTTACTTACATCATACATACATCTGCACTTTATTGTTTATGATGAGAAAATTCATGAGAGAGCAGAGTTAGCGCGCACACTGAACAAAACTTCAGCTTTTCAGCGTTGATTCATCTGAATGCTTCTGATTGGTCATTGCATTCATAAACTCAGCAGAATCGTGTGTGATTGCTTAATTTTGCTGGACGATTTACACAACGCTGTAAAATGTGTAAAAAGAAATATGATGCGATATGATCAGATCTAAATGTAATGTAAATGTAATCAACACTTTTCATTTGACTTTATTCGCGACAGCCGTAATAGATTTAGTTAATTGTGCAGGGGCATTTTTGTCCAATTTGGTGGTATTTTTTCCTCAAGCCCCCGTTAATTTCTGACCCGAGGCCAGAGAAAAGCTATATGATTCAGTGAGAGAGCAGTCCAAATGCGCTCAGCCAGTTCACCAAAAAGAGAGAACTAACTCAAAATAATGATTAAATCACCATTTGTCTTTCTGAACGGGTACATGATGATGCTGTATGGTATTGAAGTGTCCATTGTTGCACATAGCATCACAATGCCCTGTTTGCTTTGACGTGTTCATGACCTGTTTTATCTTTGAAGGTGTAAATTAAGCAAATTTTGGCTTATTCTTCTGTAACCGAAGTTGAATGTTTTTCCCATGTAATGGTCCTGTACTGGTTAAACACTGCTGTTTGTGCAGAGGGAGAGCCTAGTGTGTCAGTGAAAAACAGATCGCTCTTGATGTTTTGATGGTGCCTGGGAGGCTCAATGTTTATACTTTTGGGGAGGTAAACCCATGGATTGCATGCTAATAGTAGTCACCATAAACTGGGTTAAGAGAATGTATTTTTCAAATGTCTTTGAGGAAGATTACAGGGCCAAAGACCAGGGTGTCCACACCTGTTTGTGGAGGGCCACTGTCCTGCAGAGTTTAGCCTAATTAAACACACCTGAACCAGCTAATCAAGGTCTTCTGACTCACTAGAAACTTCTGTTGCTGGTTGGAGCTACACTCTGCAGGACGTTGGCCCTCCAGGAGCAGGTTTTGACAACCCAAAGAATAATAAACATACCCAAGATATCATTTTGTGGAAGCCACTTCATCAGTTTGACATTCTTTGGAGCATTTTCAGGGACTGGTCCAGTGTACCTCCATAGCACCTACAAATCAAAGAGAACTATGAAGGTTAATAAAATGAAGCCACAAACCTAATGATATGATGACATGGATTATTTTGTAAAACATTGTTTTGTTTCAGAAATACATGGCGGGCCATCAGAGTTGCCAAGTCTGAGCAGAAGCGCGGGGTGGAGAATACAGTTGTGTATTTGGGCTTATTATTGTTAGGGAAAAAAATGTATGACCACTTTAGCACTGTGATATTTCAGACTCAAAGGCAATTATTCACACTTTTCCACTGAAATGGTGCTGTTCATGTCAGAGTATGTAAGAAAAACAATGACAAATGTCTTTGAAACAAAAAAAGCATGTTGAATTGGACTAACTGAATAAAATAATGCATTGTATTAACAGTGCTTGTATTATAATCTCCTTTGCGGTAGAGAAAGCTGCTTACATGTGGCTACACAGGGAAACGAGTGACAGCGAAGATGTTGAATTAAATGATAAACACAGCTTTTGAGTCTTAATCCGCTTTTCCGCATATACATACTGGCCCTGATTATCATAACTTCTATTTGTTCCATTGCTGCAAATCAGGTTTATGAATGAATAACTTGCTCTACCTGTTGCTTTGGTCTCCATCAACACCCGCTTGCGCCACCTACACAGCAAAACCACCAGTGTTAATTTAACTCTGTGAGAGTTAATTTCAACACTATCCTGGTGTTTATATAATTCTCACTGCCCACTTTTTTCTCACTGCCCACACTTTTAAAAGTGTTAACAAATTAACACTGCCTCAGAGTTCAACATTTAACCCTCATGGAGTTAATGAATCCAACATCTCTTATCAGTGTTAATCAAACTCTTCAGAGTAAAAGAACACTACCTTAGATTTAAATAACTAACAATATTCATTTGATAACTCCTAAAAACATTAATATAGCTCTTAACTGAGCAGGTAAAAGGATTTAAGGTGTAACAGAACAGTTACCTTTAGAATAATTATTTGTAAAAATAAACCCACAAAACAATGTACGTTTACATATGATTTTTTAAAATTAAAACATTGTAAAGCTTATTTTCCTGCACCAAAATGTCTTCACATTCACTGTTTTCAATATATTGAAACAACATGTTCTTAAAACAATTAAAACATCATAATGTCAAAGCAAAACAGTGAAAAGGCACAAAAGACATATTCTTATACACGATCACAACCGAGGAATAAGGGTCTTATCTAGTGAAATGATCGGTCATTTTTTTTAAATAATAAAAATGTATATACTTTTTAAACACAAATGCTTGTCTTGCATTAGCTCGACTTCACACATTACGCAGTCACGTGTGACGTAAGCGGAAGTACCGACCCAGTGTTTACAAAGCAAATGTGCAAAGAAAGTCAAAAAAGGTTTACCCTTTACAAAAAATGTAAAACAGCAATGTCAGACGATTTTGAAGTTGGAGGAGAAAATTAGATTTTTCGCCCTAACCTACCTTTTTGAACCGAAGTACACAGACGAAGAGCTAACCACGTATTTAAAAAAAGTATATATATTTGTATTTTTTTAAGAAAAATACCAATCGTTTCATTATGGACATGAGTAAATTATCAGTACATTTTTATTCTGGAAGTGAACTAATCCTTTAACAGGTGAAATGTCAGAGTCAAGTGTCAATTCCGAAACAAAAACTGTTCACCCAAAACTGAAAATTCTGTCATCATTTATTGAGTATAAGACAATTCGGGTGAACAATTTGTTTAAGGAAAAGCATCTAATTCACTGTAAATATATATTTTGTAAAAATGAAAGTCAGACTTATTGGAAAATGGGTCTTTTAACAACAGAAACAAAGTCATAATTCCAAGTGCATATTTATCTACGTTGAGGTTGGACTTATAACAAAATGAATGCACATGTACAGTTTCCCTGTTACTCATGTACCAGAACACTTCTTAGAGCAGCATTGTCTTTACTCACCTGAGCAATAGGGGGCACTCTGTTCAAGTAATGCATGAATTCACCTATTTAAGGTAGCAAAGAAGGAGTTATGGCAGGAAGTTATATCTTCTTTGGAGAAGCTTACCTCATGGTGGTTTGAGTCTTTGTACCCTGATTGAGGAACTTTATAGTTCTAAGCTCATCCATAAGTAATTGTCCATGATATTTTGTATTGTTAAGAATAAGTGTTTGTAGCAAATGGTTATGGTTTGTTTAAATGTTTTGTCTACCCCCTGTTGTTGTTGTTTTGGCACGTAACTAGAGGGGTTGTGTTCTGAGCAAGTATGGATCACTTATACATCTGAGAAGTCGGGAAATAAGAGAATTGACTCACATCTTCTGCTTAAAAGCAGCGCTGGACTTCAAACATTGGGGCCAAGTCTCTTTTCTGGTTGAACTTTGCTGGGGAATCCTCTAGGCTTCAAAGTACTGTTTTTTCTTTTTACAACAAAGACTGTGCAAAGTATATGGTTCTAAGTAATTGCAAACCAGCGACTGTGCATTGGAATACTGGACTGTTTTTAATCCTCTGGTTCCAACTGTTTGGCCATCAATTATGGGTGTCATGTTGAATTTGTATGCTCTGGGTAACTATGTTTAATAGACCTGACTCGTGAGCAAGATTGGTCTGTTTGGTCCCTCATTTCGTGCATCACTTAAACTAAAGTCAAAGGGATAGGTGTTACAACTTAATCTTAAATGTGGAATCGTGGCTTAACTGTGTTTCTATGTTATGTGTCTTAACAATGTTAAAGAGCTCTTACAGTATCATCCCACTCGATTGGTGGCTTTATACTCTTCAAGGCAAGGCAAGTTTATTTATATAGCACATTTCGTACACAATGGTAATTCAAAGTTCTTTACATAAAAGAAAGTAAAATAATCATACAAAAATAATCACAAAAATAAAACAAGGAATTTAAAAACTTTGAAAATGATTTAAAAATGGATTTAAAAAAAATTTAAGACAGTTAAAACTAGAAAATGATTATACATACATAAAATACAGTGCACTCAGTTCGGACATCGCACAGTGCTCATTCAATAAATGCACAGTTAAACAGATGAGGTTTGAGTCTAGATTTAAATGTGACTAATGTTTTAGCACATTTGATCTCTTCTGGAAGCTGATTCCAACTGCGGGCGGAAAAATAGCTAAAAGCATATCCCCCTTGTTTTGTGTGAGCCCTTGGTATTTCTAACTGACTCGATCCTAATGATCTGAGTGGTCTGTTAGGTTTATATTCAGTGAGCATATCTGCTATGTATCTGAAGGATGCAATCTGAAGGCTCAAGTTGATCTTTGCTGAAGTTGGTTGATGGAA